GTGCGTACTCACGACACACCACCCCACGAAAGTCGAAAAAACTGTCAACATGACCTTTGATATTGCTGCGGACCTGCCGCGCTTTTTTTGCCTCGAGGATCGTCCCCGAAAGCCTGCTGAATCTTGCGAATGGTTTACACTCGGGTATCGCCAAGGTTTTTGGCAAAATTTGATGTAATATCGCTGCTCACGCTGTTCAGTCATTTTCCAGCTTAGTGGAATCCGACGAGAGCGCACTACATGACCTCACTCATAGGCCGATTGCCAACGACTGACGCTTCCTGCAGGCTGGAGAAAATTCAGGGCTGTGCATGACTGTCCCCTCCACAACTCGACCGAAGGAGGCCTCTCGCGCATCATTGGTTTACGCGAAAAAAAATAAAGGTCCGATACTTTTTGAACAGACCTTGTATTTAAATTCAGGACATCAAATTCATATGAAATCAGCTCAAAATACCCGGGCACCAAAACCACTGTTGACCTGTGTTATTAATCAGAAGTGTTAAGTTCAAATTAATAAATAATCTTAATAAACAAAACAGTTTAAGAAATAAATCAAGGAAGAAAACTACGAAAAAAAATTAAATTAATATACTTTTTCCATTACATAATGGATTTTTTAGCTCCAATACACAATTAATTTTTCAACTAATTCTCTCCACAAATCGAATTGTCTTTTCCTTGTAAATTTGTTTTCGAATTTTCCACTCTTCATTTTCTTATTATTTTTAATATATGTTACTAACATTTCTTTTTGTTCTTTTTGCTTATATTTTAAAATAAAACATTGCAGGTTTCCATTTTGTTTCTGCATACTATATTGCTATAAGACAAAACATTTAAGTATAACCCGTTGATTTGTTTACAACTTGTTACAGTTAAGTTGATTAGTCGAATCATTATAGTCGCAAACCCAGATGCATTGTAAATAATCCCATCACGCTTAACGTTATCCGTAAACAAGTGAATATGATCTACTTCCTCTTGTCTTTCGAGTTTCCTCGATGGATCTAACTCCAGACTACCGATTATGTGAGTCATAGTAACACCAGTGAGTTCAATGACGTCAATTCGAGTACAACACGAAAAACTCGAGACTAAGGGCCCAGGTTATGTAAATTTTCCAGCGCATAGTTACGTTTACTGATATTAGATGGCTTAACTAGAGTAAACACTACATACGTTGTCAGGCCTGCTTTGCAAAGATAATCGACGCAAGTAAGCGTACGCCAACTGATGCTGTCTATTTGTAAAATAGGGGTGAGGAGACATACAGTAGGTAACATTTAGGTGCAAGGCATAACGGGGCCTTCCTCGGTAAAAGAAGTAAGCACGCAAAAGAATACGAAAAGACAAATTTCGTATTAAACTCACTAACAACAAATGGGCGCTTCACAGCACAGCTTCGTGCCTACTGTTCATCCGAGACGAATTTACTCATAATCATTACAATGATCGCATAACTTAGTGATGTCACGAATACAATACAACAATAGAAATCTTCACGTTATATGCAAAGAATCGAGTAAACACAAGGAAATCCTTCACATTCTTATCCTGAACATACAAAAATTATGCAACACGTCTATATCTTACGGGTTCTGCATGAGGATTCGTGGTTTTCGAATAAATTTCTCGATTATTTACGATATTTTAATGTTAAACAATTCAAAATGCTTTCCTATTTCTTTCTCTAATCACGTGTTAAACCTTAATTTGGATAAAATGGCGGAAAAACTTATTGTAAACGCGTGGAGAAGCTTTCTGTGTTGTTCGATATACAGGGCGTTTCAAAAACTTCATATACTTATATAGAGAAGGAGCGCAGTGACTGCAGCAGGGGTAGAAGGGCCGTACATTATGAGTGTCCCACAATTGTGACATTCTTGCACACTATAAAGAACTAGGCAAATCCGGCATTGCAAGTAACTGCCACGTTAATGTTAACATTTTCTGAAACACTCTGAATAAGTGTTTATACACAGCACATGTTTTAGAAATACAATATAACTGATATAAACATTGGTAAACTAAAATGTAGGCAAACTTCGGCAATGGTATTAAGTTTTTTAACTGAAATTAATATTTTATAACAAGGACCAATTTTTATTACAAGAAATTCCTAAATAATAATATTATAAAGGAAGTCAACAAACCCATTGTATATCGAATTTTGTTACTGTTCTACGTCATCAAATACGAACTTACCAGCTTTAGGAGCTACGTAAATGTCACCGGATACAACAGTCCGTTCATCCCCTTTAATTTTCTTAGCATCGGTATGATGTTGACAAAGAAGAAGTAATCCCAAAAAAATGGCGAATTTTACAATTGACAACATTACACCACAATTCAACGTTTATTAATTAACGTTTGCAGTTCCATTCAATTTCACTCACCGGAATTCGCTTATCGACAAGAACAATTCCCTCCTCTAATAGGCAATTAAATGCTTCCACTCTCTTGAAAAAATAATTTTATCAATCATTTAATAAATTAATTGAATGTTATATTTTTATTATCAAAAAATTATTTTATTTAAAAAAATATTATACATTTCAACTCTTAAAACATGCTTTTCTTAGTTGTTTTATTTTATTCGAGTGGAGAAACTAATTAAAGGAAGTAACTTTTTATTTAGAGTTCTTATTTCCGCAATTTACATAAGAAAAATAATTAAAGAGTCATGTTGCCACCTTTTCAAAATTTCGACCATGAATTTAAAAATCGGCTCGTCAGGGCGAAAAACGGCCTGGTGGAAACACTATAAAGGGTGTAGGGTGTAACGGGATAAGGCAATGCAACACAATCTGCCATGAGAGAATTGTCTAGGGGGAACTGGCCCCATTTAGGTGTAAGACAGGTGAAAGAAAACCCCTAAAAAATCCACGTGTCCATCCTATTGGTGTCCATACGTGTCCATACGGGAAACTAACTCCTATAAAGGTGATACACGTGATACTTTCACGAAAAACACGTGGCCGGCTTATTGGCGCGGTCTAAAAAAATCCAGTATGCAGAGGTTATATCCACTCTATCCACTCGGCATCTGGATACAAAAGAATTAAAAAAATACAAACGTTAACAGCCATATTCACACTGCACGTTTATGTAATAAGAAAACAATACGTTTCTTATTTTTTAGAAACTACAGGAACTAAGGCCCTTTTCCATACCTATCTTAAATTTGGCCAGGCTTTACAATAGGGAATAACCAGGCTGTGTGGGATGGGGCCCGGCATTTCCAGACATACCACCGCGAAAAATTCTTGAGGATTCGATCCCGGATACCCCAGAGCGGTAGGGCCATCTGATCGTCAATCAATACAGTTCTAAAAATTATCAAGTCTTCTATAAATGTATTGGAAAACATTATATAAATTATATTTATTGACACGTGTAAAAATATTAATTACTAACCTTTATAGATTTTTAATACCAGAAAACATGGAAATAAACATTAAATCTTTATTTTAATTGCTGTATAGTCGATTTATTTTATTTTAAATATGTCAGACAAATAAAATTTTTAATGACTTTTCTATATTTTTAACTATTTTATATCGTCTCCGCCGTCATTAATCGACATTAATTTCATGCTTAATTAAATATAATTTTTTATGATTTAAAGTGTTTTAAACAAATTAATAATCAAAATTTATATTGGAGGGACTCGAGATGGATCCTAGATTCCTTACGGTGTTGCTCTTCGAAAGCCATAAGAATAAACGAGCAAATTAAATTAAAAAAATAAAATATTTATCTCATTTATCGAAAATACTTTAATTTATCATTGTAGTATAATATTTATTACATAAAAGATGTTTTTGGATCCCCATAAAGGAGCCACAGATCGAAAAGTCCACAGATGGAGGAGAATCGGGAACTGTCCTGAGCGTCAGATGTCACGTGTAAGATATAAATCGTAATTATGACAGGCGCGTGTTGATGTCTGTGACGTCACACTACTAATCAATATATTAAACACATTGCGTAATGTTTCATTTACTTCAAATCTGCATCAACGCATAATTTCGTACGAGAATGACTTGGCTCACTAACAGAAAAATTAATATTGTAACTGTAATTTTCGCAATATCTTGCGTATTTGAGAAGTCTGCTTCTAAGAATATAAATTTTACAAATATTGACGAACATACAAGTTTAGATAATTTAAATTATTCTTATGCACCGAATGGAACAGAAGGCAATGCAAACGTGGACACTAAAAAGATCAGAATTGTTGCTCAGTCGAATGAAACAAAGTTAATTAATATCACCCATGAAATTGCAGGTAAAGTGATGAATATTTCTACTATCGAAAGTCTTGCAAAGAATATTTCTAACATAAGTTCCCTTCTGATGAATTCCTCAAGCGGTTCTATGGAAGAAACAAATAGTTTTTCAAATCTTGGATCTCAAACCATGAATTCCTCAAGCGGTTCTATGGCAGAAACAAATAGTTCTTCAAATCTTGGATCTCAAGCCATGAATGCCTCAAGCGGTTCTATGGAAGAAACAAATAGTTCTTCAAATCTTGGATCTCAAGCCATTAATTCCTCAAGGTTCTATGTTAGAAACAAATAGTTCTTCAAATCTTGGATCTCAAGTTATGAATTCCTCAAGCAATTCTGTAGAAGAAGCAAATAGATTTTCTAATCTTAGCTCTCAAGCGAATACTTCTTTAGAAGTAAACATATCTCCGAACTTTAGCTCACTTATGATGAATCATTCAGGCAGTCCTTCAGAAGAAACTGGAAATACATTTAACAACATGACGATACAAGTAGGAAACTCTACGTATATGAAAGAATCAGCCGAAAACGACTCTAAAGTAAAAGATTCAATGTTTATAACAAGTAATTTTAGCATACAAAATGAAAACATTTCCCAAGATTTCAGCCAAATGATGCAAAACATATCAATTATTGTTGATGTTTTTAATAAGGAGAGTATACAACTTATGAATGCTTCCAGTCATGAATCTGAAGATGTAAAGTTACATTTAGAAGCTATTTTTAATGATAATTTTAATATGAAAATAGAAAATGTTTCCAGCAATATAAGTGTAGAAATTCAGACCAACATGACTAACAATTCCAACATTGAAATTGCTGAAGAAACTATGAGTATGAGAGCCAAAATAATCATGAATGATGAAGAAGCCATTGAATTCTTAATTAAACAAGCGATGGATCCTTTAAAATGTTGGGTAAGTATACATTAACTACTTATATAGTTCCTGTGCCCTTAAAATTACACAAAATTTCTAAATCTTTTAGATAACTTCTTATCACAATATCACAACACATGAAGAATTAAATGAAGGAAATGATACTGAAAAACACGTGAAATATTATCTTAAAATTTTAAATGAAAGCCCTTATAAAAATATGGATTGGAAAACACTTGCTAAGGTAAGGAAACATTGAAATTAATCTATATACGTCATCATCTTTTGTCACTAATTACCATCATCATTGAAGTATTCTATTGTTTATAACGCTTATGACATCATTGTCCATTAGTAGCCGAGTGGCGAATACCACTAAAAACCAGTGGTTAACGCCTGACCACCGGTCAACGCCTGTCAATTTCCCATAAAAATCTTCCTGAGAAGCACCTTTTCTTTGACAGTTCGTTGACTAACTCAAACGAACTCCAATCCAACATCATCATCACCCCTCATGGCAATTTAAAAGCTACAGTAAAGAAAATAAACTATAACTTTTCTCAAAATCCTCCTTGAATGAGTTATTTATGACTATTTTATTTATCATTTTTTTATTCTTTAATATTTCCTTTAGTTGGGAAGAGCGAAAAAGTTTATGCAAGACAGATATTGGCACGGAGGAATCATTCCATATTATCTTAGAGGACTTTCTAAGAAATTTTGGAGAAAACGATATCCTCTGATGGGATTTTTAGGTAAAAATATCGTATATATATTATATAAGCTATATTTAAATTATATATAAACCAAAGTTTTAACACAACAGGGTTGAAAAGAGAGTTTGCTGAATCCAGAAATTACAACGAACTTCAGTATTATTGGACAAAATGGAACGATATTACTGGAAAGTCGATGAAAAACAAATTTTTAACTTATATTCAAGTTAATAAAATTTATAACAGGAAAAGGAGTAAGTATAATAACTTTATCTTAATAGTATCAAAGTATGTACCTAGAAAAATATGTTATATCTCCAATACAAAGAGTGAAGAGGACATTTTACTCCAAAATGTAGCATGTGTTTTCTCATTAAATATCAAACATTAACAGTAATTTATCTTTGTTGTAAACCTTATCACGTTCATCTACAGAATAACTTGGCTCACCAGTGCCTAATGAATACTGTACGTGACGTGGCTTCATTCCTCACCAAAGAAATTTAAAAGTTTACCAGACTTTCTCTATACCATCTAATTATATTCTATGGAACCAGTTTCCCATAGAAAGTCTTTCAGGGATGCAAGGTGCCTTGGTGGGCACGATCCTTGAAAAGAAGACAATGCAAACAGTAAAGTGTTGCATTGTCTTCTTTCATCGATCCAAAATACTTAAAACATAGCTCGTTTGTAATAATTTAAAAGATTATACCAGACATAACACAAAAGTATAGGATGTGTCCGGGGAAAAGAGGACAGACCGTCTTTTTTCCCGAACATGTTCATCTATGTATAAACTCGTTTAACATATACAGCACATAGGTTCATCCCAATAGGGACTGCACACATTTATATTAATTCCCACATACTTTCTTTGGATAGATACAGGTTTGTGCTTTGTATATTCCTATTTTTAGTATACATTTTGTGACAAAATTTTTTATCGTAAATTTAAAAAAAATATATTAGGTGGACAAGAATCGTTGTTTATCAAAGAACAAGATAATTTAAGAGTGAAAATTGATAGTCTCTATCAAGAAATGTTGCCTCTGTACAGAAGGTTCCACTCTTACGTGAGGAAACGATTACTGAAAAAATACGGACATAGAAGAATTCATAGAAGTGGTCCCATACCAGCTCACTTGCTAGGTAAGATTATTTTAAGATTCTTTATAGAAAAATTATGTAGAACATATTACTTTTTCTTTGTAGGTGACATATCTTCACACGACTGGACGAACATTGAGAACTTATTGAGACCATATCCTAACAAAACTGCATTGAAAATATGCAAAAATGTTAAAGTACTGTATATTAATTGAATCTATCTATCGAGTTTAATGCTTTATAACAACTGTACGACATATTTGATTACAATTTCAGCCTTTATTTACTACAATCTTACCCCAAAGTTTCAGGTGACACTTTGAAGAACTTGAGGAATACGAAATATTTCACATTCAATAGATGGCTCAAACACTACAGTGTCTTGAGTTTTGGATATATCAAAAAGAAGTCTTTACGATAGACTTGAGGATATGCTCTGATATCTGAATCCTCAAAACTATGAGATCCTACAATATCGTGTTGATTTGCTAATTCCAATTTCAAGTTTACTCTATGAAAACAAGCAATTTAGACTTAGAATTTGCTCTGAGATCTAAATTCTTAAGACTGAGATGAGCTAATTTTAATGAATGAATTTAAATACTGCTTTAAATTATATCTCGTTATTCAGTTGTAATAAAGCATTAAACTTGGTTCGTAGGTTTTGAATCATCTTGTAAATTTATAAATTAAGTTGTAGAAATTAATATAAAGTATTAATTATTTTATGTTTTAGGAAGGAAATATTTCTGCTAAGGACATTGCTGAAATAGCAGAAGATTTTTATGCATCTTTAGGTTTCAATAAATTGGATAAGAAGTTCTGGAATAATTCCGTATTCGAAACTTTATCCATAAACTGCACTAATTCCCTGTCTGTTATATGTGATGATGAGTCGATTGGGTAAGTGCTTAATTAAGAAAATTAATTAAAATTAATTTAGACAAGTAATTAATATTCTTCTTTGTTTACGTTAGTTTACACGCATGTTATGACCCAGATTGTTATTACTTCGCCATGTTTCATTGGACTACTTTGGCTCACCAATTGAAACACAACATTACTCTCAGTCCAGGTAAATATCCACAGCAAATTCCTTCCTTATTTTCTATTGTCTTGCTGAAAACAATACATTCTTTTCTCTGTTTTCTATTTCTTAACATTAATAGAAAAACACAATTCTTCTTAGTGTTATGAACAGAGAAACCTGTAAAACTGAACCCCGAATTAAATGGAAATCTGCCTAAAAGTGACAGTCCAATTTTACTGTATATGAAACAACTTTTTCTTTTGTGATTAAGCACAATAAATCCCCCATACTTGCTCTTTCCTCTCTCCCCACCCTCATAATCATTCACTTCAAAGGCTAAGCCCAAGGTATGGCCTCCTAATTCTTTACTTGTATTGTATTGTATGTGGTATGTATCACAGTTTATGAAACAAAAAAACAATATTACAAAACAATGAAATACGTTATATCACTATTTCTGTCATCGTTTAGGGCATAAGAAACATTATCAAGTAGTAAAGTTTTCTCTGTAAGCACTCGAACCTTTCAACAACGGCCACTGAGGTAACATAAACAACAATTACTCAGAAGTGGTGGTTTTTACAGGTTGCTTTGTAAGCATTTTTGTTCGGAACAAAGGTTTCTGAAGGCATGGCCGCCATTTAGAGGTGGCCGTTATTGAAGGTTCTATTATACTTTATTTATATAGTAAATTCTCAGAGATACTTTCTAATTTTTTACAAATTTCTTTATTGCACAGCAATTTCAGAAGCACTATCGAATACCATAATTCTATCGACTACAATGCCTGGATTTTTATATCCATCTGGATTATCAAATATCATGATTTACGACAGACGTGCGTACTGTACATTAAACCTTACAGGATCCATGTAAAAATTTACTTAAAATAGTTTTTTTACAGAAGACGAAATTAATTTCTTAATGGAAACGGCTTTGAGAATAATTCCATCAATGATGGACTCGTTATCGGTTGGTCTGTGGAAAAGAATAACCATGGAAAAAACTAAATTTAATAGACATATGAATGAGAATTTTTGGAAACACAGGTATACAATTTCTACTTTATTTTCCTTAAACTACTGTCTTTTTATATAGAATTGATTATAAAACTCGAGTTCTTTTGCTCATTTGAGATTCCAGTGAATCCATGGCTTTAAAACGACCAATTGTGTGAAATTTCGTGAATTTTGCAACGAGTATTTGTATATTTTATTGAAATAATAATAATTATTATAAGAATTTGATTTTTTAGATTGTATTATCAAGGTTTATGTCCTCCAGTGGTTAGAAGCGAAAGAGATTTTGATGCAGGAGCAATAAAGTCAATTGCAAATGACTTAGATACTATGAAGTGAGGCAAATTTTTATTTTATCAATGGGCCAATAAGTAAATTAATTATAAAAAGAATTTACAATATTTTATCTCTAGAGACTTTCTAAGTGGTTTCCTCCAGTTTCAAATTTATAAAAGTTTATGTAATGCTTCAGGACATAGAGATGCTCTTCATCGTTGCAATCTTCTGAATTCCATAGAAGCAGGAAGACGAATCAGGTATCAAACACGTTAAATATTCTACATAAAAACTTAAAAATTAATTTTTTCTGATTGATTTTTCCGTAGAAAATTGCTAACTCTTGGAAAATCTGTTACCATTAAGGATGCCCTTTCTGTACTCACTGATGGTAACGAAGAGATTACATCAGGACCATTGATCGAATACTTTAAACCTCTATACGAATGGTTCTTGAAGCAAGAAGAATTTGATGAAATCGGTTGGGAAAGTTACGATGCAACCGTTTGTCCCAAATGTGCCTTTTAAGATTTCGTTTCTTGCTAATTTGCATAATTAAGCAGCAGCTGCAGAAGTTACGCTCAGTTAATAACCCAAATTCAATATAATCATCCTTAAATTTAGCATAATTTATATAATTTCTATGTTATTTTTCTTATGTATACAATAAAAACTGTCTAAAACGGACTAACGGTCGAGTAAAACTATAAATTGCCTTAATGGAACGTAACTCTTCAAACGGAACCATCCAAACTGTCAGCATAAACTTAACTTCATTAATATTCAACATATCTTATTAAACTTTTAAAGGAATTACATAACTTTTTTGAAGAAATTTACTGAGGAACAAAAATAGCTCATAAAGAAATTAAATCGTATATATTATCATTGGTATAGGCCCTTTATTTATTATACAAAACACAGACAGGAGTCATTGTTTAAAGGAAAGCTAATAGCTTCATTGCTTTAAATTGCTTCTAAGAGAATTGCAAATCCTTTCTTCTGAACCAATAGATCCGAAGTGAAATCTATCTTTAAATCCTGAACACCGGTAACGTTGAAAGTGGCTGGTTTCTTCTTGCCACAATACGTCTTTTTAGGTATATTTGAGCCCGTAATGACTATTTTATCCATACATTTTTTCTAAAAAGATATTAAATTAAATTGTTACAAAAGCAATTTCCAATATTTCTTGTAAATATTTATAAAATATCTCATTTTTGAATACAGTAATACCTCGGAACTCGAGTTAAATTCGTTCCTAGATGACGTTCGCGTTTCAAAGCAATTTTTCTCATAAGGAATAATGTAAAGTGAATTAACCGTTCCCAAACCCCAAAAATGCCCATTTTAATTCTTAAAGAATTGTAATTTAAATCGAAATAACATAAATAAAATATTATAATTAATGCATAAAACAATATAAAAATAACGATAGCAAATAATGGAATTAAACTACAGTAGATAAACTGTGTGGGGGCTCTACACGTGCCCCAAACGCCTATCAACGGATTTCGAAAAGTAACAGATTTTCATTGTTTCTAGCCCAAAACTTATATTTAATAGCCCAAAATAAAAACTAACGCAAGCTGGCAATCTTGCCGCATCGTGCGTATCCATACAGTACGGCCATCTTTGTGTTTAGACTCCAACTTGTTCGACTTCCGGGGCGTTCGAGTTCCGAAGTATCACTGTATTTTTCTAAGCGGCATCGGAGGTTATTCAATATCTATAAAATTCGTCATAAGGAAAGTCTCTTATACTAAAACAGAATTTAAATCTAAATACAGTAAGTTAATATTCTAAGAATTCTAAGGAAAGGTGCCACCGGGAAGACACTTATGGCAAAGTGGCCCTTATTTAGATATTACTAACGCGAGGAAAATCAGGAAAACTCCACGTGGCCAGATCGTTGAATAAGCGCGAACCCACGACAATTGTTCGGTGGTTTTATCCACTCGTTCACTAAAAGAAAAAAACCAAGAATAAAATTTACTTTTCCTTTCTCCGTGTCCAAAAATATAAATGTGAATTGAACATTTTCGTTTGCAATCTTCCAGATGCATTGGATGTAATTCGGATATCTTTCAGGAAAATTGGGACTGGCAATGACTACGGGTTCAGTAATGTTGAACATTCCACCACACTCATTTATGTATGCTGTAAGAGATATTTATTTCACTCAGATTTTTAAAGTATCATAAAAATAGTCGAGTGATTTTCTTACTTCCACAAGATTTCTTATTAGGAAACAATTTTTTTCCTTCTTCACATTCGCAAAAATAACCTCCTATTGTATTAACACAAATGTCACTGCAACCCCCTTTATCTGGTAATTCGCATTCGTTAAGTTCTACAAATTATAAAAACATTTTCGATTTCTTATTCGTTATTTTCAAAATTAAGAAATCATTTCGATTTACCTTTCAGGAAAGAAAGTGAAAAGTCCTTTGCATCACTTTCTTTTCTTGACTTCATCCAAACAGTAACTGTATTGTTTGTAGACAATATTATATCTGGAAGTTCGTTTCCACAATATTTTCCTAATGATTCGCCTTCTCTTCCTTCGCCTTCAAAGATTTCTACGAATTCATTTGTGCAGTTCTCTTCACTCTCCATCTAAAAAATTACGTACTGTATCTATGTCTTTAGAGGCTGCCAAATTTACAACATGTCCTCTTTAAGGGGGACATGTTGTAAATTTAAGTATGGAAACAGAATTGGGTCTGCAAGTTATGGGGTGGGGAATTCGTTGTATAGCGTGCTTTAATTCCTATCTCTTGGTTTATCTGAGCGGTATAACGATGCCTCTTCCAAATACCTTCATAACGGGGTATAAGTAAAAATACATGTAAAAAATCTGAAATATTCTTACGTTTAAGCTTTCAAATTTAATAGCTACTCCATATCCAAAAGGAACCACGATAATCCATTGGCAATCTGACGTCAGTGACGAATATTCTTGTAGTTGATTGCTTTCGATCATACCTTCGTCGGCTTCTATTCTTCCACCACAACTTTCTGAAATATACAAATTTCGTTGGGATAATATCCCATGAAAATTGTTTATTATGATGTAGTTTCCTCGTGAAAACAGGAAAATTAAATATAAAATCTGTAAAATGGAAATACAGTAATATTCTACAGGATAATCAATCACAGTGTTCACAGCTCTTTGTAGAAAGATGTATTAGGCCAATCTCAACAAAATTTGGTATATATAATTTCCCGTGTATCCAATTTCGACTTTGGGGAAAAAATTTTACTTCAAAATTTAATCACTAGGTGAGCTTTTGGCGCTGCTGTTTCCTTAATGTGCATATTGGGAATGTTTTCTAATGAATTTCGGGTATGAACTGAGTAGCAAGAGGATGTTTACAGTTCTTTGACATGTGAACAGTTCACTTTATTTGTTCGTGTCTTAATTGTTCAACTCTTACAGCACAGCACTTCTGTAATGACAAGTAATTTATATAAAGTTCTCGCACTTTGTTTCTTGCTCCCTAAATTAATTAGAAAACGAACAATATAAACACATCTAGGGAAGAAAAGCGCCAAATTTTATCCTAGCAGCTGAATTCTACAGTAAAGTTTGAATGAAATTAGAAACTTCACGCTCAGAACAACATGTATACCAAATTCAGTTGCAATATGACCATGGTACTTTCTTCGGTACTTTCTTCGGATCGTTCTGGACACTTCCTCTTTAATTATGATCACCCTGTTTATAATTATCAATAATTTTATTTATTCGAATAAACTTTATAATTATAAATACCTATGTACTTCAACGTGAATCCACCATTTGAAGAATTGGATGAACTCTTGTAATCGATCAGAATGCTGTTAGACGTACTCGTGTAAGTATTTTGTACAGTTTGATTTCCACAAAATCGTCCTTTGTGACAAAGAATGGTTTTCTGTTAACTCTTAACTTAAATATCCTAAATTAAACACAAGAACGTACCTATAATAGGAGACTTGGACCAATATCCATCTCGAAGCTCAAGGTATTCTGAAGAACAATCCTCGTCCTCGGAAGTATAATCAAGAGTAAAACTGATCTTCTTCACATCGTTTACCTTGATGAACCATTGGCATTTGTTCCCTTCTGTTGTAGATAGCTCTTCTGATGCTTCAGAACTATGTAATATTCCTCTCGAATTTATTAAACTAAAATAACAAGCTGCAAAAAGAATAAACCCATCTTCACGTAAAATCTTCGTAGAATAACGAATAAAGTTAAAGTAATTGTACAAACTTGTTAAATTACCTGGGCAATTGTAAAGTTTTTTAGTCTGTGCAATATCAATTTTAGAAAGCTTTCCACTATTTCCTGTTATAGGAATTGATTCGTTAAGAGATTCCATAGTTGCTTTATCATTTTTGCTAAATATATTTGAAGGATAATGCATAATACTTCCGAAGTCATAACCGAATCCTAAAGAATCGATCGCGGAACTTGATACCTTCTGAAACTCGCTATGAAAAGCTATAATGCGATACAAGAATTAATTGTATTAATTAATAGCATAATTGTAAATAATTATACGGTAAAACATTCGATAAGGGCCGCCTGTAAACTTCAGCCATCTTCCAGAACATCCAACAAGAATGCTTAGAAAATAACTTCCAAACAACGGACATAATTAAGGTAAACAGCATACAAACGCATACAAATCCGGCCCTTGTATAACTAATTAGCTTATAAATGATAACATTTATCTATTGAAAAAAATATATATGTATAAAGGGTGGCTCAAATGCCAATTAACCGAGATATGTACTAAGAAAAATGGTTAAAAATGGCTGAAGAATACGGTTCTTCCGAATCGTTTTAATAATTCTTAAAAAAAAATATTTCTTGGTTAACTGATTTTTGGATCACCCTGTATTTATAAATTAAATACCTTCGTCGATGTTTTCATATAAAATCTTTACGTATTTATCTCTATCGGGACGACTTTGTTCGTGATGAAATCCGATCGCGTGGCCAAGTTCGTGCTTGACTACCCCCGTGGTGCTGCACGAATCGTGTAACACGAAAGTTTGTCTTTTCTCGAATCTACCTAAAGTTGAACAACAACTGAAAATGAAGTAATAAAAAATATATTTCAACTATATAAATCGCTACTACTTTATGCAAATTTTCGAAATATATGTTATTAACTAAATAACTAACCCGCAATCTCCAGTGGGCTCGACGTAGATGCTGTATTTATGATTTTCTTCTTCGGGTACAAATTTTAAACACGTAACAGATTCCCAATCTTTCGAGGCTTCATAAAACTCTTTTCTGGTTTTTTCTATAAAGGAAATATTATGTTTTATAAATAAATAAAAATGTATTGTTGGTGAAGATACTACTACAACTCACCGGGTAATTCCGGATGGAATGCGTAAGGAACAACAGCTTCGTCCCAAAGTCTCCACTTTTCACTAACGGCGCCTCTTTTTGCATAAGAAATCCTTCAGGAAGAATACACGTTTAACTTTGTATTTACTAAATAAGCGTTTAGTGTGATCTTACCTTTCAACCGAATGGGGAATTTCTTCATCGGGATCTAAAATAGTAATTCCCTTGTAAGTAATTATACATAACGTGACATTCAAGACTGTATTTATGACATTAAAATTAGAACACGTGCTCACCTTGTTTATGAATGGATCTGCTATCAATGACGTATCCGTTCAGTTGTACGACCTCAACAAAAATCAAGAGAAGTAGAATTAAAGCAGAATTCACTGGCAAACAATTCATTGTTTCTTGTTAATTTATATTAAAATAGTTGTTTTAATCCTTCAACGCTAAGGCAATCGCTGCTCTGCTTTAATTAAGCACGAAATTGTTCGTAAGCAATTTGCGTTGGTGTTGATAATGGCAAACAGGAAATATTATTGACGAAGGAAGGAAATTCCTTTCTGTGTTCTAATTAACTTCTGTAATAAATTATAAAATGTAGATTTATATCAGAATAAGCATTTTCTAAAATATTAAAAGGGTTGTTTAAAGAAAATTTAAACTTAAATTGTTGTTTCTTAAGTTATAACAGCGCAACACTTGGGCAATCTGCCTAGGGGGATGCCTTCCGGGAGGGCTTTTTTTAAGGGAAACTGGCCCCTATTTAGGCGTTACAGACGTGGAATATATTCGGAAAATTCCACGTGGCCAGCCCGTACGAACGAGGCGCGAACCCACGACCAAACTCCCAGTGTTCAGGGTACGAAGATCGCTTGCCCACTGGTGGGCTTAGATTTAAGAGATTCTAAATTTATAAGTGGCTTCTAGAATTTATGGAAAATGTTTTCATCTATCAAAATTGTTACTTTTAGAAGCATTATATTTAACAGAAGGAAAGAATGGCCGCCTAATATATTTTACATTTTTGGACTCGGTAAACCTTGAAATGCAAAAAATTCGGGAATTTTTCTGTATCTATGGATGTATGGGGGCACGATTTTGTTCACACTGTTTGAAGCTTAATAACTACCGTGTTTTTTTTCGAAATTTTCTGAAATTTTTCAGGGAGGTTTGTTTGTTAGGTGGATCGTTACTATTAAATTTTGGTGATTAAAGGTCGACGGATAGGTAGTCAAAAAGAAATAAACAAATAAATAAAATAACCTTCAAAAAGCTCACTTTCATTCAAATTAGGAGACCTAGTATCTCCCAGTTCAAATACTGTTCCCCAGTAAAACACTGGAGAACAAGTTAAAATATCGTTTTCTAATACTTCATAGTTAAATCTTTCACACGTGTTAGTTCGATGGGTCGACATTCCGCACCACCTGGGATTATCGAATAAGAAAACGAAACAGATAATACATTATACAATTTCAATTTGAATATGCATAATTATTACAATATGCTATTTTATATTACAGAATATCTATGAGAAGTATTTTGTAAATTTTTATTGTGAAATTTGTAAATAATTACAATCGTCAATTATTGCCGTGTGGGGGCGCATATACGAAAAAGTCGTCTGCAATCTCTGAAAACGAAGATGTCGTCAATTTAAGTTGCTCTAATTACTTTCGCTAATTGGCGCATTCGACGGAATAAATTGGACAGAATTGACTCGGATTAAGCATCCACAAGACACGTGAGTAATTTGGCTTTTTATTCGAAATCGTTTGATGCTGGTAACGTAAGAAAAGAAATCGTTGACGTGAAACCGTGTATTAAGTCCTGTGACCCCGTAGTTATCCGCCATTTTATCGTTGGATGCGGTTTTAGGATAGTGTTGCCAGTACTAAAAAGTAGAACTGGCAACACTGAAAAATGGTACTGTGTCACGTTTTTAGGCTATCACAGAAAACAATACAGTGGTGCTTCGTACTTCGAATCTAAGAGGACATTCGAAGTACGAGACAATTTTTCCTATTAGAAACAATGGAAGGTTAATCAATCCATTCCCAGGTCCCGAACGATATCCATTTCCATAAACTTAAAACAGAAAATACATATAATTTAAAGTAAAAAATAGCAGAAATAAATGCAGTAATAATAAATTAAAACAGGAAAACAATAAATATAGTACATAGATAATGTATAATAAAATGAAAATCGCATTTACTGATCGCCGCACATCGTCGATTTTGTGCTGTTAAGCTTAGTTCACACTGAGCGCGATTCACTGGCGAAAGCGAAAAACAGAGCGAATAACCGGTCATACATGACTCGTTTGGCGGGTTATTCGCTCTGCTTTTCGCTTTCGCCAGCGAATCGCGCTCAGTGTAAACTAAGCTTTTAACATGACCTCCACATGCCCACACGTGTACCGCTCTAATGCTTTGCGATCACTTCCTTTTCTCATCTGAATCATCCATATTACAACCTTCCTGTTACTCGTGCAACTTTCACTTTTCACTGAGCGCGCAATTTTAACTTTGAAGCATCGTCCGAACTCATAAGCGAGTTTTTGTCGAATTTAGTGTTCGAAGTACGGGGTAGCACTGTATTATTGAAATCTGACCACATGACCTCCCCTTATGAAATGTTTTAGTAGCGCCATTACATTAGCACATGTAGCAATTTAATGAGGTATTTATACCATACGGATGCGGTCACGTGATCGTGATGAATAAATTGTTACCAGAGGTGGTTCCGCACGAGAATGTAAGTATTTTTGTTTAACGAAGAACATACACGTGGATATAAAAAGAAATTATAGCAAGCGCGTGGCCAAAATACAATAAGCGCTTCGTATTCGTACCGTAATATCGGGAGATGAATATTTAATGGTACTTAAAATTATAGAAATAATTTTATGTCATTAAGAAAACAACTCATATCCTTGAACGGTGTAACTAATAAGTGATTTTTAAGGTTAGTCTGTATACATTTTGTCAATAATTTGTATTAATGAGATGATTATGGATATAGTTATCGAGTTTAAAGTAATTATTGCTGTATTGGTGAAAGATTGCACATGAATAATGTATATATACTTGACACTTTTCATTTATTCATGCATAACACTTCACACACAATATCTGGACATTTGCTTCCATGATTTTTAATAAAATATAAATAAGTAATGGAGAATACATCAAACTTTTTCTGGAAAATTTATACAATAAGAATATTCATACGCTAGTTTCTCAGGAGGGTACAATACTTATTGCAAATCCTACCCACTTCTTCCATTTCTTAATTCGCTCACCTGAATTAAATTTGATTTTAATGCCAAATGTAGAAGTTAAAATTAGAGATTCTGGAGTGCGCCATCCACAATACATCTTACCACTTATATTATGACCGCTTATAGTTACTTCATCCTGACATCCCTTCAAAAAAAGAACGAAATGTATCATGTAATATGACAAGTTTACTTTAATATATAAGTAATTTTTGCCTACTTTTTTGGAACCTTGAACATCCATGTATAAAAATGTCAGTTGAACATTTTCGTTAAGAATATCCCATTCACACGTTACGTTTTCTGGATACTCTTCGGGAAAATGTGAGCTTGCAATGACGATTCTTTCTGACACATTCAAAATTCCTCCACAATCATCCATAATATCTGAATGAAGACATCATCATCATTATTTATGCAAATTTACCATACTTAGGCTGATTTTAAAGTGAATATATAACCTTCGCAATGTTTCTTATTGGGAAACATTACTTTCCCTGTTTGGCATTCACAATAATAACTCCCTATTGTGTTCTTGCATATGTCGTTGCATCCACCTTTATCTGGTAAGTAGCATTCGTCGATTTCTTTTAAAGAATAAATTAAAATTGCCAATAATTATAATTATTCATTATTAATTTTCACTTTCATTCAAATTAATTTTAAAATTAAACAGAAGTAATCAGTGTATTTTCTGATTTACCCATGAAGAACCGTATTACAAACTCTGTACTATTCCAGTCATTAGTTACAAATGTGAGTGAAACAGTGTTGTTAGAAGATACTACATCTTTAGTTTGCTGTAATCCACAATATCTATCTATAATTTCATTGTTTGCTTCATCCAGAACTTCCAAATAATAGGAGGAACAGTTGTTATCAGCTCTACTCTACAGAAAGAATACTTGTTTAGAATTAGATATCCTTTCTATTTAACAGTAAAAAATTAAATGTATAATTACATCTAGAGCTTCAAAATGCAGCGCTACTGTATAATCTGGTGGAACTGCAATTATCCATTTGCATTGAGAAAGAATGGAATAAGATTCTTGTAAATATTTACTCTCTAAAACACCCTTTTCTGCTTCGATTCTTCCAGTGCAAATAACTGAAACACAAAGAATACATAAGTAATTATTGTTATAACAGAAGCTTCAACTAATTATAATACTTCACCTGTATAATTCAGTAAAAAACCTGCATAATTAGAAGCGTTACTAGACTTATAAGTAATTAATAGTGTATGAGATTGGGTTTGGTAGTATTTTTGTAACGAATTATTTCCGCAGAATCTACCTGAAAGAAAAATTTAAAGCGATAACATATAAATATTCTTATCTACTGTTTAATATTTCCATTATTATTGGTTATATTATACTAATAAAAGGAGTAGTAGCAGCAGCAATAGTAGTAGTGTTAAAGCAACGATAGCAAAGCACTACTAGCAGTAGAATAAAAGAAAAAATAACGTGAATAGGGAAACTTTAATTATGGCCACACTGTATTTTCTGCTGATTTATCGACTTTACCAATAAGTGGAGATTTTGACCAGTAGCCATCTCTTAATTCCAAATAGCCGTCCGCACAATTTTCGCTTTCAGGTATGTCCACATAATCAAGAAAGAACTGGATAAACTCTCCTCGATTCCTTCTAATGTACCATTGGCAATGCACAGTTTCCGATTTGTAATCGATACCATCAGTCGTTACCACTCCTTCAGGATCATATAAATTGAACAAGCAATCTGAAAAAGCATCGTTTAGTACAGTACAAGATTTATCTCTGAAAGCGAAAGCGTTGTAACTTACTTGGACATTTGTATAATTGGTTTGTTTGCTCAATATCGATGGGACTAAGTGTCGTTTTGAATTCCTTTAAAGAAACTGAGGAATTTAAGGCTTGCATAGTTTCATTCGCTAATGAAACAGCATAAACATCTGAAGAATAGTGCATGATACTATCAAAATCGTAAGGAGACCTCAAAGAATTAATTTCGCCTTCATCCAATTTCGAAAACTGATTCAAAAACTCTGTTGAGAATTCAAGTTTAATAATCATTTTTGCTGGAAAATATGGATTGCAAGAAGAAAAGCTCAATATTACATTACTTTTCTCGATATTTTCGTATAGAATTTTGACATGTTTATCACGATCGGGTCGTTTATGTTCGTGATCGAAGCCAATCGTGTGGCCTAGTTCGTGCAACACCGCTTCTTTATAATTGCACTGATCTTCATCTAGAGTCAGGTATTGCCTTAATTTATATTTCCTACCAATTTCAGAACAGCAACTAAGACGTATCGAATACGGTTCAATATTTATTTTTAAAAATAGTAAAATATTTCATAATATTAAACATCTTTCTCACCCGCATTTCCCTTTATTTCTAATAACTAATTTTTCTGGATGTATGGGTTCTGCTTCGACAAATTTCAAGCATGTTTCTGCTTCCCATTCGTCCATTGCCGAGCGGATAGTTTTCAACAGGCTTCCTGAATGAGTAAAGTGTAATTAGTGTGAAATTTAAATTAAAATAATTAAAAAATTGATTAAAATCTTCCTCTTACTGGAGCAATCGGATTGGATTTCATAAGGAATTACACCTTCCTCCCAGAGTCTATCGTGGTCGCTTATTGCAGCTCTTTTTTGCCTTTTAAAATGTTAAATATTAAAACGTAATTATAATTTTATTATGTTAAAATTTCGGAATTTTACAAATTTAAATTGTCTCATACCTCGATTCGTTACTTAAAATGACATTTTTGAATTTCTCTTCGTTAATTGGTCCATCAGTTCTTTTATCTTGAAATTTATATCAATTTTAGAATGCTAAAGACACTTCTGTATAGTGTTATTTTTAATATAATACTGTATATGTAAAAGTTTCTCTCTGTGAAGTATTAGTGTTGATTGTAAAATTTTATACTGTAATATAGTTACAGCACGATTAAATATTGTATTTATTCTAATAAACAGTGTATTGTTTATAGGTTAGATAATAACCCACAATTTTTCAACGCTGTCTATGCTTAACCTCTTTCCCAGCAATTACCGACTGAATAAAACCATCGAACACTGGTAAATATTATGGGTTCGAGCCTGGACAAAGGGAGGGCACGTGGAATTTTCCGTGTTTTCTTCACGCGAGTAATAATTAAATAGGGGCCAGTTTCCCATAGAAAGTCCGCCGGGAGGCATCACCCATGTGTCGCGTTGACTAACGAAATAAACAAAACATTAACCTATTTAACACGATATTAGAAATAAACGTTATTTCATGTATTTACTAATTATTTCATTTCCCTACGTAAATTTAATTTTTACGTTTCATCGACTCCTCACCTTCGTTCTCTTGCATCTTCAATTGATTGGCGTAGATCACAAATATAAGATAAGCGTACAACACTTGATTTTTACTAAATCTAATCATAATCCTACGATGTAATTGCCGTTCCCTTTTTACAAACTGATAAAATTATTATTAAATACAAGTTAAATTTCTTAGAATTGTTGCTTTAAATTGTTTATGCGTCGAATAAGAATAGAGTAATGGGAAGTCTTTTATCAAGACTTGAATTTCCTTCCACACTGATTAAGTGCAACGATATTTCAATTTGTTAAATTAATAAGTATGCCTATATAAAAATGAAAAGTTATAAATGATTTTTACATTATTTAATTACATATTTTTATTTTAAGTCGTGCTTATGCAGTAAGGAAACAGTTTAAAGTTGAAGAATTTCGTTATTTTGGGGGATGTGACATTTTGGATATGCACTCGATCTCCAGCAGATGGCGTTAAAAATGTAATGCTTTTAACATGCGTCTCCAGACAGCCCATCAACGAGCGAGAGTATACTATTGATAAATAGTGGCTGAAGCGACGCCATGTTTGATGAAAATACACGTTCGCCATTTTCTTTTTAGTCAATGGAACGTGACATTTGTATTGTGTAAAAGCAGTAACTCTGGTTTCGTGTTCGTATTTCTAGTCTGTTTATCTTTCTATCTAGTATGCTTGCTTCTTTATCTGTTCTAATTGTCAATTTTGCCGGCCTATAGGGGGAAAAGTTTATTTCACGCGTCAGGAAATGGCTAAGGGTTTGCGCGTATATGGGTGGTGTTGACGGAGACGGAAAACACAGGTTCCTTTACATAAGACCGTTTACTTGATTCAAGAGAAGCTTACATATTTTTGTTCAGGTACTCCAAATGTACACTGTGGTTTTCGTTGGACAAGAGGACAGTCGCTTGTAAACTGGAGCAGTCGAATTACGGAGAAGTCTGAGTCTGATGACACTGATTACAATTGATGGCCCCGGGGCAGTAGAAAGGAGATATCCGTTGTGGATGATGGGCTGGTATATCCATGCTGTTATGTAAGAGTTCCGATCGACCGACAAATTAGCGATTTTTACCAACTGGTGATACAGATTCGTCGTGTGTACTATCAGAGAGGAACTACTTTTCAACCTTGAGATTCAGAATTTTTATTGGTTTTTCTCCCCAAATCTTTCGTTTGATTGGTCCTAATTTCCTTGTCTCGCTTCCCGATTGGTCTCTCTCTTGTCTCCAGTTGAAAGCCGAGATCGGTTCGGGTCGCGAGAAAGGTCCGCTATGGATGATCTATCGGACACTATCCATCGACTTTGATCGATAGATGTTGGTAGAACCAACATCTGCGCTCGTATTTTAGCCCGTTATTTTCTTTCCTATGACATTTTAGAATTTTAAGCATCGAGCCCCTGTCTCTTTGTTTTTGCCTCTGAAATTTTTGTATAATCAACACAATTAATGCGATTTCGGACCCCGTCTGGAACCTCGCATAATCTGTCGCTAATATTATCACTACAATGCGAACTCGCAGTTTGCAGGTATTGCCACAGGACGTTCTCTCAACGATGTTAAGACATTATCGTTTAACTCATGAAATTGACACTGAGAGTCAAAAAAGGAAGACAATTGCTTGTTATCTGTGCTCAAACAGCTTTAGCAGCAGGAGTGAATTGTGTGTGCATTTGCAGGACAAACGTATGTTGAAAAACACCAGTTTGCTACTGAAGAAGGTAGGAATGTTTTCATATGGACAGACCATATGTATCAACGTTGCTTTTAAAATGAAACAATATTTATGCTTTACTATTAATTAAAAATGCATTTGCAGCTTTTAAGTGCTGACTGGAAGAGGCTTAGAAGTTAACATGGACAGTGTTTGTACTTCCTGGTGGACAAAAGAAGAAATCAACTGGCATTTGCCGATGTTACATATGTAACAAAAGTGGCACATTTTTATCCAAGAGCAGTGGGAAAAGGCACTTGATCTCAAAGGACAGCTAAACTAGGGTATCATTGGCCAGCTGAGATCAGTGTATTGGAAAACTACGGAGGATTAGACGTCACATACTATAAAACAAGCATTAATTAAGACAAACGTCTGGGACACATTAATCTCACAGAGAATGAACGTTCTGCTATAGCAGGTTAATAATTGATTCTATTCATTCTATTAGTTAATTAACATAACATGTATTAGGTCTAATGCTGTATTTTACTCTTTCTAATTTAGTGGACATCATTAAGGGTGTGCCTGACAAAAGTGTAAGAACCCGGACTATAAGTCCCTAAAATGAATGAAATTTAACAAAATATAATAATTTTTGAAAGTAAACAATAAAAGCTAACAAAGACAAGATCTTTAGGAGAAAAATCGATAAGGAAGTAGCAATATAACGTTTCCTTTCTAACAAAACTCTTTTCTGAGATGATTACTCAATGCCGGAAGTTGAAGAGAAAATCCAGACTAGTTGTTAATAATCTTTTCATACGATATTGACATTTTTGACATGTTCTGACTCAAGAAGCAGACAAAAAGGTATAAAAGGACCTCCAAAGGGTCATCCAGGGTGGTCTAGTTCCTGTTGGTGACTCAGTTAAAATGTGATGTAGTTCAGTCTCTGTAAGTTGTCAAGTAAATCTTCGTTATATTCAAGCCGATATAATTCTCATTGCTGAAATGATCATATATTTTTTATTGAATAAAGTAAATGCTTGTCTAGTATAATTTGGTCGTTGAGACTCCATCTGACTTCACAGAAAGACTTTCACAACATAACAAGGTCATGTGGTATTAGATGGATCAAGCAAAGTTTACACAAGTGATGCCACCAGTGTAGCTGCTTGGGTTGAAGAGAAGCAGATGGAGGGAGACGACAGTCTTGTTATATTTTCTAAACAACAAGAAGAATATGAAGGACTTCACAGGGATGAGTTTATTATGTTGGTAATTATGTCAAGCTTGCAAAAAACTACGTTTAAAAAATTTGGTTGGATAGAATATGTATTGATTGCACACTTGGGTGTTACAAAATTGAAGGATCATCTCCGCACCATAAGTGATAACGATAAAAGGAACAAATTTACGCTTCGGCAAAGGTTCGTATCACGGAATTAGGCATTGAGGAGTGTAACTAGTTTCTGGAACAATTGCAAGAGGATCCTGAAATCTATGCTTTCTGGCAGTATTTGAAGTCTTACTACTGTAAAATAATAGATATGTGGGCATATTGTTACAGACCAAATGCAAAGATTGATACCAATATGCCCATGGAAAACTTTCATTGCTGTCTAAAACATTTGTGATAAGAAGGAATCAAATGTAAAAGGATAGACAGGCTAACGATATCTTCTAGTTTAATTACAGGTACCAATGAACAGCATTACTGAACCTTTAATTTAAGGTTAAGTAATGGTGTTCATTGGTAAGTAATTTAAGGTTAAGTATTTAAATAAAGAATAGATTTAATTATTTTAATTGATATAAATCATTATTATTATCGTTGTCCTAAACTGAGAAAAATTACACAAAACTTATTATAACAGCGTTTCTAAATTACAGTTGTCATTTTAATAATTGTAAATTATTATAGTTAAAATAATTACATATAGAAATGCTATTTTAAAATATTATACATAAAAATAATAACATTTGGGAACTGGATATATATAAATAATAATTTTTTCTATTTAAACAAATATTCATTTAATTATCTTCACAATAATAAAATTATTTAGGCGATGTATTATTATTGGATAAATAGAAGAAAGAGTTATTAGTCTCTGCCATTTGTCGAGAAGGCTTGCTCTTCTCTCGTTGGTCTTGTATGGACTGTCTGGAGACACCTTTATTCTTTTATGGGTACATAACAACTGCGATTCAAAGTAGAAACTTGTTACAGTGTTGGAACTGTTAAGCTAGTCTGTTCCTCGGAACAGTTAGGCTAGACGATTCCTCAGAATCATTACGTAAAGTCTGTATGATTAAGATCTGTTGGACAAGACAGTTCCCTCGTCGGTTTTATATAAAATACAAGTAAAACGGCAAGGCCGTATTTGGGACAAGACTATGTCTTGGAGACTCACTACTAAGCGGAATCACTGAAGCTCAAGGCGGGTCTCGTTCTATTCCTCCAATTTTCTTTGGTATCGCTGCTTTTGGGCGTGATAGTTCAAACTTCGCCGGCCACGATGCATTTTCGATGAAATTAACCTATCCAATTTCGAAATTTCTCTCTGCTGCGTGTCGGCCCGGGTTGAATTTTTGTCGATGCGTAACGAAAATTTCCCGTTTTTGAAAATAATAATCGTGGCTATTGTATCGCTCGAAATTATTGTTTTTATTTTTATTTTGCACAAACAATATACAGTTTAACCCGATTATAACGTCATCGGATGTAATGACAACCCTAATAAAACGTCAAATTTTTATCGGTCCCACGATTTTACTATACTAGATAATGTTAACAAACCTACTTGTAACGACATAAAACCCTGTTTTAATGTCATATTCGAAGCATTCCCAAATTTACAAAATTAGATTACAAATTTTTATTTAACAAAGAAAATACTACGTGTTAATCGATGATCCTTACAAATTAAAAAAGAAAAGTTTATTATACAGAAATATAACTTCGTTATTTACAAGCAATTTTACATATATCTTTAGCTAAAACAGCTAGAGAAAAGGGAAATTTCTATAGGGAAAATAGAATATTTACGTGGTATTGTGATAGATGACCTCCTTCCGGAAGAGAGGACGGTCAACGACTACTGATTAATACTGGTCTACTATTAAGCAGTTTCAATAGGAAGTTTGGGCAATGGGTTTATGAGTTAATAAGAGGGATGTTGTCCAGGTTTCCTGGTAGTTAAGCATGTAAATATCGCGTTTATAGAAAAACTTTTAAAACTGGTTTGGTTTATTTGATTTCGGCAACGCGATCTGCCAAGGAGGACTCATCTCCGGAAGACTTTTATGTAAAGCTGGCTCCTATAGGTGTTACAAACGTGAAGAAAACCCAGAAAATTCCACATTGGCCATTCGCGAACCCACGACCGACTACCGGTGTTCGGTGGTTTTATCCACTCGATTACTTAAGGGTACTCATTGGGCTGCAATTTGAAAGAATTGTAGACCTATAAATCTACAAAATTCCTGAAAAATTATTAAATAATTGCAGAAATATTATTCTGTTTCCATTAAGCAGAGGAACTTTAACAACTCTAAAATAAGTTTCAAAGATAGAAATTATGTATTATCCAATATAAAATCATTTGGTTAATTAAACGTACTTGTAGGAATTAATAAGTTTGTTTATATAATGTCGTTTTACAAAGATATTACGTTCTAAAACAAACTCATTAATCCGTACAAATTATCTATAATTAATGCATACGTCCTCTCGAACAATTATCTGTTTATAATATAAATTACAATTTTAATTAAGAATATTTTAAATTTTATAGAAATCATTTTGGAAAATGGAAAATATGGATTTATCATCTTCCGATCGAATACAGACAATAAAGTGTTTACGTGATAAAGGAAATACATTAAGTGTCGAATTAGGCAGTGACAATAGTGAAAAACAATGGGAGAATGAAAATTCGACTGCGATTACGTACGATGGAATTCCGTCAGAAGTAACACGTGCTTCGGATGTCGTATGGGAACAAACCAAAAATGATTCTGACGTTTCTAATGGAACCAAAGAAGTATTGGAGATAAAAAGCGAAGTAGAACAGAAAGTTAATAAATTTCAACTTGAATTAGATACAAGAAAATACGATGGGACATCACAGCTTAAAATTGCAGGTATTAGTGAAGATGAATCGGATTGTCTCATTTTCGAAATTGACGAAGAGGATACTATAACGGAACAATGGGAAACAGAAGATGAAATAATTTTTGATGAAGTTTTTAACTTTAACTCACAAAATAAAATGCCTCCGGCAGTAAATACCAATAAGCGTGAAACCGTTCGAGATAGGAATATTGTTGGAAATACTGTTGAAAATACATTAAAAGAATCTGTTGCAGAGGAATGGAATAAACGAAATTGGAGGAGTGAAGATCCTAAGGAAAAATTAGATACGGACGATCCCGAGTGGGAAAGGATCAAGACCCTTACTACAGATGAAGAAAGGTATAGAGCGGTGAAGGATTGTTGGAATTCTCACAATGTATCAAATCATCATAAAAATCTCACTTCCCAATCCTTTAGATTAAGGAGATTGAAGAAAAAGGGCTCTACGGTACATCATAATAAAGAAAGTGAAGTGCAACGGGAGATCCCGTAGGAATAATATGCGATAAACGACAGAAAACAGAATCTTTCCCGTGTACCAATATTCTGGATAGAAAAACAAAAGACGAAAAGAAATCATATAGGAAAAAGCTAGACATGGAGGAATCAATTTATTTCAAAGAATTGCATAAAATTAAATACGACAGACAAAAGTACAGAAATTATCTTCTGGAAATATATTAGTAGTAGTTTTTGCAATTCATATTCGATTAATCGTTCGGTTTATGCTGGAAGAACAAGGGAACGGAGAGAATATATTGAGATGGTTATATCAAAAAGAGAGAAGAAGCAGAAAGAAGCGACAAGAAAACGTTACAGAGATGAAAAAGATAAACTATTTGATGATCACCGGCAAAAAGTTGATAAATTGTACAAAGTTAGGGAAGAAATACATAAATTCAGTCAATTTTATTGCGGATTCAACCAATTAAATCCGAGATGTTATTGAGAAAAAAAAGAGCTGAAGAAATATATAAGACTTTTACCAAAATGTATTCTCCTGCACGCTTTTAAAACGTGATTTTCGTCATGATTTACTATCGTCCAGAGTTAACAAATATAGGGATGCCATGTGCAATGTACACGTGTTTGACTATTTATGTGTTATTTCAATCTTTATATTATTATTTTGTAAGCATTAGATGTTTTTACATCTATAATCACTTTTAGTTTTCTCCGATAACTTTTATTGAATAAATGTATAAAGCTCAACACTGCATCTTGATTCTTTCAAGATTATAATGGACCAGATCCACAATGATTCGATTCCATCCATTAGCCACTCATAAGGAGCTAATGGATGGAATCGAAGACGGTTGCAGAGCGTGCATACACGCGGACTGCCAAATCCCCAGGGTGCCGATACCGGTCAATGTCAAATACCTCTTTTGTCGCATCATTATATATCTCAAAGGACGCGAAGGGGGTGTTGTAGATTTTAAACGTTTCTCACCATACTGTAAAAATCTAAATACGTTAAACTTAATAGTCATTTGTTTTCTAACTACAGTAGAGCGTCGTTTATCCGAAGGAATTCCAGTCGACAAATTTAAATTTTCGCCAGTGCTGTGGCGCTGTAATATTTGGCTATGTCTTCGGCTACTCAAATATTTTACGTTTTTGATACTAAATTAACTTCTGAAGTACAACAATATAATTTTTTATTGTTTTTATATTTTTCAATATATTTATTTTGTTTGTTCAAAATAAAAAAAAAAAACAATTTTTAACGATACAATAGTCTTCGTTAGGCTTAACATCGACGAAAATTCAACGCGAAGCGACACGCAACGGAGAAAAATTTCAACACGGGATAAATTAATATATTTTTTCGTACATAATTGGTTATCCGAAATATAAGTTATCCGAACAACCTCAGTCCCCAATTGATTCGGATAAACGACGCTTTAGGACCAGGTTTTGTCTACGGAAATTTCCAAAATTTATAACTTTTCGGTCACTCTCGTCGAACCGTAAAATTTCTGTCTTTATTACATCTAACATTTCGAAGAAATCAGTTCCCACTGTACTCGGCTAGAGATTGGTTCGGTTAAGCTTTTGTTTAAGTAATATTCCGGCTCTTTCGTCGGGGTTTTGTTTACGTCCCAAATTCCCTAATCGCTTAATTATTTAACTACTTCTTAAGTAGAAATAAGTCGAAACCAGTTACTTTGTACTCGAATATTTGTAGTCTCGGGAAAAAGTGGAAACACAAATTTTTTATGACAAACGGATACGTAAATCGTAAATTTAAGGAAAATAAATTCTAGAGCTTTTTCTGTACCTCGCGCATCTCTCTCATTCGTTAAATTTAGTCGTAAATGATGCTGTCAAAGTAACGGCTAATTTTTTTAACATTATACAAGAATTGTACACGTTTTTTTTCTACGTCCCCTTAAAGATGGGACGTACGAAATCGTAATATCACCGGTTTAACATTGAAATCCTCGAGTAATATAAAATCGAAGAGCGGAATTAATATACCAAATATTTTAATGGATATTTTAACTCCCGTCAACTATACAGAACTATCGTAAAAACGTACCAGTAAATTCTTATCGGTTGGGTTAAGTTATAAATCTACTCGTTATTCACGTAATCGAAATATTTAGTGGGCGGACGGCTAACAGCCCAGAACCGGTCCTTGATAGAATTGGAAGCGTTATCGACCCAAGGTCGTAGGCTTCCACTGGCTAAACCTGGTGAGGCTGGTGCTCTGTAAAGCGCGTGCACAAATCTGGCTTTTTGGAATCTGACAATACAGATTCCACTCCGCCACTAATATTCGAATATACAATAGCAATCTTACTATTTTTTTATCTTGTATTATAGAAATTTGTAATAAGATATATAATGCGGTTATAATAAAATATTGTGCGATTATTTTCATATAATTAAAATTAATATGTATTTATTTTTTAGAAAATACAAGGGAAGCGGCGCATCCACAGCTTCCAATGACGGCATGAGTCACAAGTCT